TGTATACATTAATATCCTTTAAATTCAAAATTAACCAGTATAATAAGAAAAAGGGTAATGCTATTATATCTCATGTGAATGCTTTTTACTCCAAATTATAAAAGCACCATGTTTAAAATCTTATAGTATTAGATAATGGAAAGTCAATTTATGTGAAGGGACATTGTTAGGTGTGAACCAGACGAGATGAAAGTGTAAGTTGGTGCAGAAGCACTTTGATGGAAATCACATGTTTTGGGAAATAAAGACAAATTAACATGTTTTCGTAGTTGACATGCATAGTTGCATGTAATAAGGCACTTGTTAAAGCTCTGGCTTTTTTATTTTTTATTTTCCAATCATAAAAATATCTCTTTAGTGGGAACACCTGTTTTGCTTAGAACATCGTCCTGTCTTGTACAGCATTAGCAATATATCAGATTGCAGATAAAGACATGCACTTCGTTTTCATCATGGTATCATCGGTTTGGGAATCAAGATTATTAATTTTTTTTTCCATAAAAGGATAAGAGCTTTTCCCTACACTCTACGAAGGCCATCTTTTAGCTATAGAAACTAGGGAAACATCATTCATTGATTTCACCTTTTACAAATCAAATGAAGCAAACAACGTTCGGATGTTCATTCTTGAAAAGCTCTCTATATATGTTTTGCATAAAACCAAAGACATGGACATGGATGCTGCAAATCAAACTGTGATGTCATGTTAAAAAAAAGGTGTAGAGGGTTTGTATTAAAATTAATTAAGAAAAAAGATAAAGCCAAAAAGTAATAACTGTGGAAAACAAGAAGTCTAATGGGGTGATAATACAAGGCAGGAAGAATAGTGGGGATGCTTGATGTATGTAAGTGTGACTAACTGTATCAACCAAATCTGACAGAAAGATAGAAGCAAAAAAAAAGGGAAAGCATGAAGTTAAACTTAAGGTTTCATGTGTTGTTCTTTTCCAGTCGATTACTAAGTGGAAGCAAACAATAAGCTCGTCAAACTATCATGAAATCAGTTGACCTTTTTGGCTTTTTATTTTATGTGGGAGTGAGGGAACAAACTCAACATTAGTAGTCCACGCTTAATATTATTTTCAAACTCAAAATCATATAATCTCATATCCCTAACCATCCCCATTAATCACTTGGCTTCCACACGTCCCCGACAATATCTTGTGAAGAAGATTGATCACATCTATAATGCTCAACAAAACTGAGAGCTTTATCATAAAAGAATAATCTTTTAAAGCGTTTCTAATTAGATTTTATCGACCATCCTTCTATTGTTTGCTGACGTGTATATATATATATATATATTGTCCAAAATATGTGGAGTTTCAAGTTAATTTTATGTACTGTATTTTGTAATCCAATACAACTGCATTGAAATTTACTAATTATATATATATATATATTGAATTACGGAGGTGATGTATATATCCGAGTGGGGAGGAAAATATTTTTGTCTTGCATGTTCTAACTTGTTTGTTGAGAGTGGAAGTACACAATAAGTGCCATTAAAGCAAAACTTTAGCCCAACTAAAATTATTTTCAAAATAACTAAATATATATTTTGTTTCTTCAAAAAATATCATATATATATATATATTCTCTACCAGCTTCGTAAATATATAACTTTTTTTTTTGCAATATTTTTCAAAGCGTAATTTGATCAATTTAGCTTATTAAAATGGAAAGTTGGTTCAAAGTAAGGCCAAACATGTACATAATTCCAACGTCGTTATACTTTCCTTTCTTGCTTTTAATGACAATATGTAGGAAGGATTCTTGGTTGAAATGCTCTACAATGAGTATTTCTTCGATCAAATATTTCAGCCGAGAGTCATTCCTATAAATATGTTTCTTTTTTAGTTGATACATGAATTTTTGTTGTTTACTATTATCTCTCATGGTTTTGAAATCTAATAGAAAAAGAAAACAGTATCTCTTTTGTCCCTAGTTAAAAACATGCTAAAAGCACTTTCAAAAACTAACAAATAAGTTAGTCTAATAGTAGTTATCTTGTTTAAAGAGATTGAGATTCAAAGTTCAAAACCTGTTTTCGACTGTAACACCAATATATATATATATATATATATATATATATAAAATTATAAAAAAATCATCTTGGTTGACTTTGGAAAAATTACTACCGTGGGTCTTTTATCTCTTCCTCAAGCTCTTTCTTAATTTAAATGATAACCAAGTATTAGTTTCGTCTAATCACATATCTGTTTCCTTTAATGTCTTACCAAGTAAAAGTCAAGATATGTATGTGCAAGTACTAGTGCCTAAGGCATAGTGGACTACAACTATCGCTTACACCAAAAGTAAAAGTTCAAACAAATCCTTGTATGGTACGAGTGTGTGCTAACTACTAGTTCCACTTGAAGTTGTTGAATCATTATTGAAAGCCATGATGAAGTGATGACCTGTTCATATGAAACCATCTCTTCAATCTCCTGTTTCAGTTTTTGCATTATATAGAAGGTACTTATGTAGGTTTTGACTACACTTTCTTTCTTTCTTTCTTTTTTTTTTGACTCCAAACTTGTTCATGTGTATGTTTCCTGTCATGTTCATCCCTTTTTTCTTAATCTTCCATCAAGAATCAAGTCATGAGCAAACAGCCCACGCATTTTTTTTTTTTTTTAATAGCAAAGGCATCAAGTTTATTCATAATGCAGGGACATGAACCCCTCCTTCTTTACAAATAAACATTAAAGCAGAAAGCTTTGGTTCATATATCAATCCATTTTATTTGATGTGTGTTTTCAAAAACTTTCTCCAAAGATCAAAGAAAAACATCTCCTGTACACATCACCAACATATATCAGCACACGCATAGTTCACAGGCCAATAGTGAAAAAATAGTGAAAAAACTGTCATGAAAAGAATTAATTAACTCCTCCTAACTCAGGTGCAAGTGCCTGTCTGTAATTTGCTAAAACTCTACCTAGGCCTTCCCCCAAAATCCGAAATTAGAAACACTAGAGGACAGAGGAGAATAGGGCAGGGGGCCGCGGGAGGGGCTGAAGGGACATCAAAGGTCCATCACTACAGGCAAGTAACATGATGGTGGAGTTGTCACAACGTCATGCAGATAAAAGGTGGGGCAAATTTAGTTTCTCTCCAAGAGCAAATCCCATGATATTGATAGACCCAACAAGGTTGGATGTATGCACAAACTATTGTAAAAGAGGGAGGGGGTTCACAATTAGGACAAACACAGTTCCATCCTCTTTTATACCACTAAAAAGACTGCTTGCTTTTCTCCCTGTCTGTACCATATTTGTTGGTGGTCTGGTGGGATTAAATCACATTACAAATGGGGGCAGAGACAATCCGATTGATTTGGTTTTGGATTTTTGAAGAAAAGACGGGGCTCAGTGCCAATGATATCAAAAGTGTGTTATCATGCCCTGCGAACTGGTATTCAACCCAGTCCAGTTAATTTCAAACGCTTCTCTTTCTTCTGTTTGGGTTTTGCTTCTACTTTAATGCTTGAAGAAGCATCTTTCTCTTCACCTTGCTTCAACTAGGGAAAAAGCCCAATATATATATATATATATATATATATATATGTATATACGTGGTACATATATTCTAGAGCCTGGTTTAGTGGTTGATCCACAAGTAACAATGATAGCAAAAGGAATCCTCACAAACTGTCTCTCATCGCACTGAAACCCTCTCACCAAACACACACACACACACACACACACGCTTGCTTCCCGTACTTAAAAAGCCCAGAACTCCTTTTATTCCCCTAATGATTTTTTATTCAGTCGGAGGGTGCATGAAACACTTGTTTTTCTCATTATAATTTGAACTCATGTTTAGATTAACTCAACTTTCTGATTAATTGGCCATATAAAAAGACTGTTTTGATCAAGTCTTTCGTTGAACAGTTTGTCCCTTGTCACACCTCTGCACATGTTAAAGCTGGAAATTTTCAAAGTTATGAATGATATATTCAGTTAGCTATCTCAAGTTGAACACCCTTTGATGCTGTAGTTGGCAATGATATGGGGACAGATAAACAGGAAAGCCGGCATCTCTTCAGATTTCCATTTACACTGAAAAAGGGAGAAGCACGTTTCTAGGACCCTCCCTGAAGAACTTTATTTCAGAAAGAGGATAGTCAGACAGTGTCACATCCAGGGAAAGGTAGAAAAGTTGTATCAAAGAAGTGACATAAACAAATTGGAAGTTTTGAAGCCAAGCGTACCGTCCCGGCATGCTCTTATGTTAGGTGCGTGCCGTGCCATTATCCACTTGGGGTTTTGCTGGACAGCGTTGGCTCGCATTCATAGGAAAACTAGGTGGTATCAGGACAACATTTATTTTTTGACATCGAAATTTGCATGGTGCCATGCTTGTCTTAGTTGTACCATAAGAAGTGGTCGGGACACTGCCATTGGATGGCTCTGAATCATGGAAATCTGATCAGCTCAAATGGAACCTACGAACTAACCTTGAACAGAGAAGCCAGCTTCTGTCTCTTGCTTGTCAAGATACGCCACCAGTTTCGTGTCTTTAAAAAGGATACCAGTATTACAAATGGTGATTGAGTCAGTTTAACCAAACGCCAAGTATCAGTTATCAGAATCAGATACCAAAACAAAATGTTGCAGATTACATGCAACTGGTAATTGAGTCAAAGCAATGCCCACGAGTGACATGGAACCTCATGAACTGGCCATTCAAGTGGAATTTGTCATGTTGGTCTGCCGTGCTGCGTGGTGTGTTATTGCATCGGCTCCAATCAACAATAATGCATTATTGATCCCACTTGTTCTTCATTATTTGCAGGATAGTCTTAACAAAACCAAAGGCAGATGTAAATGAGATTATACAAGAGGTCGAAAGAAATCAAGAAGGGCATTTTGACTGTAGTGAAAGAGAGTGCCCCACAAACGCCTGGTTTCAGCACTCTTGAAAGAGATGCGCAGATGCATAAACCTACGTTCGTGTGGAGAGAGAAAAGAGTATGCTAGGTGAGGGCTTGGTTTGCAGATCAAATGGCAAAGCAAGCCATATAGATACATTACCCTTCAAGGTCTGTCCAAATGCATCTTCCAGCTACCTATGGAATGATCTACTTCAATCTATTTTCACCGAATCTAGCACTAGAAACTAGATGTTTTATTTTCACAGAAATATTTCACATAAATTATAATGCCAGACTAACTAGCATAAAAAACAAAACTGAACAGAGGCCAGGAAAAAAGGAATGCTCAACCCTCCTAGAATTACAGATGGCAGTTGATAGGTGAGGTTCAGGATGAGAGTGTGCTTTATGTGATGACTGTAGGTTTCTCCCTTCCTGTGAAGTCCTTCAGCTTTGATACAGACAATGCCAAATCTGATATAACAACCAAACAATTCATTCATTAATTGCCTAAAGTAATATAAAAATGATCATGAACTAACCTATTAATGGCTTCAGGCCATTTGGGCACCCATATCATGTTTAGAAACTCGGTCAACAACTGTTCGATGTAGATTCGAATGGTAGCACCGGCTGAACCAGTTCCCTGTATGTACATGAAATTTAATCATATCAAAAAAGAGTACGAGGACATGAGCCTTCATATTTGGGTAAGGAATACAAAGCCCTGCACACACCGATAAGCGAAATATAATCCTTGAACCATCTGTGAAAACAAATCTAACACCTTGCTTTGAGGCCACACTTCCATCCACCTAAAAAATCAGAAAAACAGAAACAATCAATACAGGCTCACCAAACATAGAAATGTGAAGATAGTACAGTATTATGTTTAAGGAGATCATATTTTAAGCAGTGACCACGAAAAATGTAGAATGCTAAAACTTACAGGATCAGTGTATGCAAAGTCATCAGCAAATTGAAGGACATAATCTCCTACAATGAGGAATCTTAAGCAATTGAACAGATACAAAATAAGGATATTACAATAGGTGGGACAGCAGGTATAAGGTTTAGTTGCAAACTTACCATACTTTGCCCCTTCCTTACTCTTTGAGACCAAATCTCTAAGGTATTCAATCATTTTATTAGCACCTTCAGATTCACATTCCTGAACAGTAACTCACATGAATTAGAGAGTAGCACCTTCTCCCAAAACAAGGAATTCCCAAGCTAAACTGAACTAGAAACTACAAAACTCATGCCAACTTGTTTCAAAAGGCAGCCTATCATGCTTACTTCATAATCATATCTAGAAAAGAAATTTCTTCCATATGTTGCCCAGTGTTCTTTGACAACATCAGAGACAGACACCAATGTCTCCCCTGGTTTCTTGTCTTTGTTTCGATATGCAATAATTGAGAGCCATGCTAAAACAGCCCTGTCATTGATGAAATTAAAAATCATACTCTGACCCCACGGATAAGTTAAACAGCGAAAAACAACATTCACAAGCACCATAAACAATGTAAAGTTGCCTTAAATTCTTATCCACAAGTTGGGTCTCTAAAGGTGGAAACACATAAGGGAGTGGCAGTAATGCAAGTATTTTCAGGTCCACTATGCAATTATGAAGAATCTGCATATGTAAATACACATCAAAAGAAAGTAATGGATGTGTTCGGATTGAGAGAAGTTGAAAGGAGAAATGAAGAGACAGATTAAACTGTTTCTTTTGTTGACATAGTGACGTTAAAGAGAGATGCAAATAGAAAAGAAGAGAGTGCGCAAATAACATTTTCTCCTTCATCTCCCCTTTTGAAGCTATTCAGATTTGAGGAACTTGGAGAAAAGACACTAGCTACTTTTAATTATTTAGCTATTCAAAAGTGTATCAAATATTAGATAATTCTACTTTTGCTACCTCTATTTCTCTCATTTTCTTATTTAATTTTTTAATTCTTCAACATTTTGTTGAGCTGTGAACTTTAGAAGCAAGCAGTAATTCTGCCAAAGTTGCCATTATAGTAGAATAAGCCCAGACCTACGAAAGAAAATTCACAAATGGGTACAAAATATACTCACATGCCATGATATTCAGTAGTAGAGAATAAAAGACCATGCAAAACCTAATATTAAATATGGCTTGTTACACAGTTGCAACTATCCAATTGTGCGACTAATACTATTCATCCAAACCATTGTTTGTTGCAGTAGTGTTGTAGCTTAAACCATGGTTTGTTGCAGTAGTGTTGCGGCTTAAACTTAAACCTGGCAAGTGGTCTTAATCAGAGTGCACAGCAGCTCCTTTCTGCCTCCCGAGATTTTGGAATCAATTGACAATGATTCAATATCATAGATTAAACAGCAACCTTACAATAGACTTTGATTTACAAGCCAAATTGTTTAGATGTCAGCAGATGGGTATAATTTTGCTTTTATAATGCTTGTAAGAAGTTATGGTAACAAAATTTTAAACTGTAAAAGAAAAACATTTCTAAAAAGTGAGCATAAAGTTTTGGAGAAGATGCTAAAATAGAATAATGAGGATAATAAGGGAAGTGTATTTGACAGTTCACCATATAAAGTGTGCAATGGCAAAACGATGTCAAATGGCACACAGCTTCAGGAAGAGGGACAGAGGATTGGACTCAGAATAAACAAACTAGTTGAGATTTGGCAACATACTCCATCTCCAATGCAATGATTCAAGACATTTTAATATAAATGATTCATGCAATCAACCTTATGTTGGAACTGATGACTCTACTGAGTCAACACTCCTGATAAGATAAGAAGTCTCAGTTTTAGTAAATGCAAGCAATTTGTTTAAATAACCCATAAATTAAAATAACCAATTACCATATGCCATCCTTCTCGCGAATGTGATCAGAACCAGTACCAAAACTTTCTTCCCCACAAATTGACAACTTCCCATCATCCATAAGATTTCCAAAAAATTTCCACCCAGTGGGAACCTGAAACAAAATATCCGGTAGTTTGTTTGAAGAAAGTATCCTTAGAATATAATCCCTTGTCCCTGTTATATGGCATTTCTTAGAAGAGTAGAATACATTAGTTGAGAAAAGTGCTAACCTCAAAAAAAGTAAGACCCAATTTTTCTGCAACATGATCAAGTGCAGCACTAGTGGGCATGGATCGAGCTAAACCCTGAAAAATTGGAACATAAGTAATCTATCTTTGGTTTTCAAAAACATAAAAGCAAAGTTGCTTAAAATTGGTACCTTAGGACCATTCCAAAAGTATGGGATTGCTTCTTGTGCATTCGCAGCAATGATTGCAACCGAGTCCGAAGGAGTAACGAAAAACTTTTTACCTAAAATCATGTTTCTGTCGCCATCCCCTGAGTAATGATAACAGAAGTTGATGGTGATTCAACAGAAAGAGTATATCTTCTCCACCTTTTATACTAAAATACTACTCAAGTAAATGTTCTTCTACAAGCTTGGAGTAGGGCAGAATTTGACAATATATGATAAATACACATACACAACAGAGTCGAATAAAAGATATAAGTTAATTTGAATAACCATAAAATACAATTCCGCTGTAAGGGACTTTCTCCATGTCAACAACATCCCAAGCATTATCTCCATCCAGAAAAAAAGAGAGGACATAAAGAAACATTCCAACCATAATACTCAAGCATGGAGTCAAGGTAACTCATTACACTCCCAAGTTCCTAATGTGACTAGGTCTCCCATGAAGATGAGTCCAATCAGCTTGAAAACAGTACAGCCCAGTTATTTTGTGTAACTACTCCAACGCCCACCGACCCCCCCACCCCCCTTCTTCTAAATGAGTATCTTTCTATCTATTAAGGTAGACATTCTATTTACTTTAGATACAAACTTAGCAACATTCTCCTCTCTTGAAAGATGGAAGGGGTACAACTATGAGAAGATATTCTGGATTAAAAGAGGAGGTGTGTAGGCGAGACTCTGAATTGACAATCAGTAAAGAGAAGATTAGGCAAAAGGATGTAGGAAAAGAAGAGAAAAGAAATGAAAGGAGAAAACTCACACAAGTTAACAACAATTAACAGCTTGCCCAAGTTCAATACCTACCAATGTCTCAAGAAGAAAGGAGTGTCATATTACCCATAACAGCTAGTCCTAGAATCGTCAAAAACTATTTTGACAAAGAAAAACGCTAATTTATAATTAACAGAAGCCCTTGTGCAAATAGAAAACATAAGATTAACCAGCAGAGTCAGACATTTGAAATAAGAATTTAAATTTAGAACACAAAAGGAGGTTCATCAAAGCTCCAAAGTAACATTAAGTTTCAAGTTTTGTTCTCCTCCTTCCATACTTCTCTGTTCAAAGCCAAACTTTTGGATTTTGTTCCCTTTCTTCTACACTTGTCTAGATTTAGAAGCAAAAAAAAGCTTAGAAACATGAAGATATTGGTGAATGAGTCCTATTATGCATGCACAACAAATTGGAGAAATCTTACACTTCAAGAAAATTTAACATATTCTTTCTACTGTAATCTTCAAACATACCATCACTTGCCGCCCCAAAATCAGGTCCATTCTCACTATACATGGTGTTGACCAAATCCTTTGCATACCTGTTTTGCCATACAAGTCAGAATGTGCTACACTTTTAAATTGTTGCAGTAGAATATTCATTTTTAGCATGTTGTAACTATCTTACGTAAGATTAGGATCTGGATGACCATGTCCAAAATCCTCCAAAGGCACTCCATTTGATATAGAATCCTACATGACACATCTAACATCTAGAATCAGGAACTTCATAGCAATTGAGTTAATAGCATATTTTAGATATTTCATATGCATGACATACCAGGCTGGCTCCTAGCTTGTCCACAAAGATGGGTTTTGCGTATGCACCAGTAACAGCATGCATGGCATCAAATACAAACCTAAACAGTAACAACGGATACAGTAAAATTTAGTATAAGGTCTTATCTTTCTCTAGCATATTAGAGTAGAGGATTCAACTACCATGGACAGAATAACAAACTGTTCTAATAAGAGGCAAAGTTATAATAATATAATTCTAGGCAGGATTCAGGAAAGGGACATAATTAAAAATAAAAAAAACAGGGAAAAGCAAAACCACTATCTAACCAAATAAAGAATGCACCATTAATGACGAGCAAAATGATAATGCAAAGGAACAAAGGAATTAACCACAAGAGTGAAGTTCATGTAAATGGTGGGTGGTGAATATTTTCTAAATAGTAATTCTCATCCAAGTCACTAATTACCAGGAATTATAGTAACAAAAGTTAAAAACCACAGAGTTTTATATCATGCTTCATAGCACCAAAAGGAAGAAAAAGAAGGGCTCAAGATTAGAATAGGCTGACAACATTTTATAGATATCAGGAATCTTTGCTGAATGAAAAATCAATTAGATGCATCCTTGCCAATAATTCATATCAAACTTCCATTTCAAGTATATTGCCTAAAGAGTATTCATGAGAACTGGGAATTGAGAGTGTTCATACATGGAGACCGACAACTCTACACAGGGCCCTCAAAAACATGACCCAGTAAAAAAATATATGACTCGAAGTAAGATAATAACAACATATTGGGGCATACATCTGATCTTTCTCGTGGCCACTTCTAGCATGTTTTGATGTATAGAAAGCAATCAACATCTGAATTAACCAAACATAGAACAAGCTAGGAACACAAGCAGCCTTATTCAACTGAACCCATACTCATTCCTGCTTAGTCAAGGGCACAAGGCATACCTGAAACCTGATCTTGAGAGAAGAATTCTGATGAGCTGGAAATCAAACACACTCTGCACATAATCCCATCATATTATTGATAGAATCACATGTAAAAAAATTATAGAAAAAGGTGGCTGATTTTTTCCCCTCACCTCCATTAATTCCAAATAGTCAGAAACTGGATCTATAACCTCAACACTGAAGTTTCCATACTTTGTAACTTCAAGACGAGAGAGGTCAACATCAGAAATCTCTGCCATTTTAATCTCAGAAATCTGCACAGTATTTCCATTTTCAAACATCAAGCAGGCAAAATTCATTTGCACATTAGAACAACACTTCTGTTAAGTGCAAACAAAATGAAACAACTGACCATCAGAAATGGTCAAGAACAGAAATGCATGTATGAAACATAAGTCACAACTGACTCCAATATCAGGGCAGCAACAAGTGCACCACCTATACTAGCAAAAGTCTAAACAGCTCAGTTTTTGGAGTATAAGTAGCAAAGCTCGACTACGCCACTCCATTAATATTAAAAATTGAACAATTATTGAGGGGTTTAAAATTTCTGGAATCCTATAATGTAAATCAAGGAAGCAGGCTTGTTTTTTCTTTATCATTTTCTTTCTTGACCCAGTAACGGTTGAACCTGGAACTAACCCCAACCCCGTTCTTGCAGCCAAATGGCTGAACCCTATAAACAGTTTGTAATCATGATTTGCAAACTCCCAGACAAATCAAAGATATCCAGGAAAATTTAGCTGCACGCAAGAATAGTGGTGGATTTACAACTCAATTATGTGACAAACTCTTGCTAAAGTTAGCCTTCTATTAATTCTGCTGGTGTTCATCTCAGGCCTCCTTAACCAACCAGGAGTTTACTCTTCAAGCAAAAATTTAAAATACATAACAGTAAAATCCAATACTTACAGAAAGGGTGTTCCCATATATCTTGTCAGTGATAGATTCAGGTGCAGGTTGCCCACTGCTGTAATTAAACTAGAAAAAATGGATAAATAAAATGGAATTTAGATTTACAAAATATACTGGAGTTGCAAATGCTCTGGCTCGGTCAAATTTCAATAAACGCAATATAGCTTTGATAATTTAACTAGACATTTTGCCACAGTTGCATCAGCAATTTACCTTGATACCCCAGTCATATTCAGGGCCTCCAGGATTATGGCTTGCACTCATTATAAATCCACCATTGGCCTAAGGGGAAAAAATTTTAATTAAGTGGTAAAAAAAATCAGTAAATATTGACACAATGCCTGGAATTCAAAATGGGAAAAGACCCGCTTGCCTTCCTCTTCCGAATTACAGCAGAAACAGCTGGTGTGGACATGATACCTTCCCTGCAATGTCATATTCCGTCTTTAATTCCATCATAGAAACACAACAGTCCCAGGAAAAGTTTTTAAAAGAGTGAAGAACCAGAAAAGTTGATGTCAAACACAAAAAGTGTTAAGAGTAAATATTTTCAGGCAGACCAAAAATGCAATGCTCCATCAGCCTTTTTTTTAACCCTAAAGGATGATTAGAATTCTGAAGAAAATAGATTACATTAGACTTCTACATAGAGAATAGATCAACAGCATTAAAGCTCCAAGACTAAAAACTCCTCTCACCACCCATAAACTTTGACACCTCTTATTGAGATTAGCAGATAAAGCACATGTGAGGGAACACCAAGTGACATATAAAGTCTTTGTTGTAAATATAAGGAGTTATGCCACTTCCTTCCTTTAGTTATATTCTTTACTCAAATTTAACATTTGGCAGACATGTTTCAAGTTTTAATGATCATTCTTCCCCTGAACAATGTGAGACCTTGGCCAAAAAAAAAAATGATAGTGAGACTAGTGAAGTACATAAGCAAATGAAAAACACTCACCTGCCAACCAATATTTTGCCAACACCATTCCCTGCAGCAATTTTAATAATTATCTGCATTTGAAAATCAAATATTCCATAAGTCAAAGAGACTAGTTTTGTAGTACATGTATGAACAGGAATGATTTTGCTTGTGTTCTTTTCTGTTTCCAGTCCTGTTTGCTATTTGAACAGGAAATTGCAGGTCTAATATGGCAAAACAACTTAAACCAAATCCAAGCAGAACAATGCACTTTAATTAACAGCACAGAAAATGACCTGTGCAGCTTCACGATTAAAGTATCGTCCATCGCCTCCTAAAACCAACACTCCATTCTTGTAATCCTCGGGTGGCAATGAATTAAACAATGCCTGCGGATTTCCGACCCATCAATGCAAGTAAGCACTAAATCAAATAAAATGAATGCATGTGCCAAAAAAAATAAATGAATGCCAAAGAAAATTGCAAAAGTTCAAACCTGGATCCAATTCGAAAGGTAATTCTCTTGCATAAAAACTTTAACCTGCAACAAATGAAATTGTATTAAATGTAACCAAAAACAAAGAACTACAAGGAATTTGATGTCAAGCAATTGGATCCCCAAGCCAACTTCAAAGCAAATACTTCAATGTTTATCAAACAAAAATTGCAAAATAACCAAAATTCAACTCCCTGTTCTTATCATCCCTTAAGCAATAGAAAAAATCCAGGTTTAGAAACAAAGTAATACCAATAACAGTGAGAAATAATAAAAAAATTACCTTCTTCCGAAGCCCACTTGTCCCAGTCTTTTGCCCTTCAAACGGCTTAGTGGGAACTGAATTTATCTGTGCATTCAAATGAAAAAAAAAAAACAAAAACCTTTACTTAAACTACAAAAAAAAAATTAAAAGTAGAAAAGAAAAAGAAAACCAACGTAACAAAAATGCAACCTTGATGCCTTCAGGCTCAGCAATGGTGGTGGAGGAAGAAGAAGAAGAAGCTTTGATGGCGAACGAAGGCGAGTGTGAAACGGAAAACGAATTCGTTTTGAGAGGGAAGCGATGGGTATAGAGATGAGAAGAAGAAGGAATAGGATGGGCATTTGATGATCGTTTTGCTGATCTGAAACCAGTAGAAAAGAAACCTTCCAGTCTCATAGAATTACAACTAGAAGCCATGTTTTTCCTTTTTTGGTAGGTTTCTCTCAGGATGATCTCTTTCTTTTATTCAGCGATGACTCAATGGAGTTTGGGTTGGTTTTGTTTTACTTTCCGGGTAGAGTGTGTTCAGCTTGAGTGGAACAGAATCCAGAGGGTCTCAAAGCTAAAAGGAGATCAAGCAGGCCTGTACTTCTTTGGCTTCT